TTTAAGGCTAAGGTCTTGGTCTTCTGAGGAGCTACAGCTACAGCTACAGTAGCGGTACGGTTGGAAGATGTATGCGTGGAAATGGTGGTGGCAGATCTGTTACAGTACCGTACAGTACAGTACTGTACAAGGGGTAACTAACTGTATTTCACTGCACGGGTATTATCACTATCTCGGGACCGGTTTTGACGGGGGTTTTTTATTTCTTTTGGAAAAATTGTGTTTGTGTCACTGATCCCATGGGGGTGTTTTTTTTTTTTTTTTTTTTTTTTTTTGCAAGGTAGTTTTGGGGCATTATAAAAAACGCAAGTTTGAAAAGTACCGGCTGATTTTACTACACAACTTATACTGTAGTGGTCACGCCACTTGGGACAGTCAGCCGTCAGCAAGTGTGTCCTGTCCCTTAAAAAAAAAGTGCTCTTTGTCAGTGTCAGCAGGGTAGCGTCCTAAATCATACCGTCCTGTCAGCTCTTTATGGATTGGTTTAAAGAATGAAGCCATACTTGGCTGTTGCATTTTTCCAGTTGCTGGATCTTGAGGGGGCGATATGGTAGCTTGTTGTTATTATCCGCTTCACTGTTTATATTTATCTTGCTCACAGTGATAAAAAACAAATCTAAGAAACCTTACCAAAATTTTGTCCTAAGCCGATTTTGTGTCAGCAAGTTGGCGTCCTAAACCTAGATACCTAAATTTTGGTGTCAGTTCTGAAGCCCTGTCCCAAGTGGCATGACCGCTACAGTATTCTCCTCCATTTCTCTTCTTCCGTCATGTATGATACCTTTATAAAAGTTCGGAAACGTATACCTTTCAAAACTGCAGTTTGGCAATCATCACAAACAGCGCGTTGTAAAGTGTCACCTTGTAAATAACCGGGGTGCCAAACACCCCCTAAGTATGACAATGCTACCGCAACAATGGTCTGGGGTAGCGATGATATATTATTATTATTATATTATAGGCTATGACTAACACGAGCCCGGTCGAGGGATCCAACGAGTGAGACGTCATGCACTCGTCCAAACAATGCCGGACCCACTCAACCGAGCTCGAAAAGCCCTACAGAAACGAAACAGCAAGAGAGAAGCAAAAATAAAAAAAAAGAGTTGTATCCAGAACCATACACGCACAACGCGCACCCCTCCATAGATGCACCCACCCATCCACTTACCCAGAAACACATCACCCTAGCCAAGATCGTCTCTTGTCAGGAAACTCACCAAAGAATTCAATCCCGGAATTCCTATCCCGCCGGATAACTATCTGGTCTCCTCCTCCTCCTCCGCCACCGCCACCTTCCTCCTTCCCCTTCAACGCCTTTTCCACCTTCCTGCAGCCCTCCCTGAGCTTGCCCCTGCATTTGCCCAGCATGTGTGTGACCGAAACGCCCGAACAAGCCGGGGGTGCCGAGGAGGAGGAGGAGGAGGAGGAGGAGGAGGAGGAGGAGGGGGTGTCGGACCGGGAAGAGTCTTCCGAGACCCCGGAAGCGGCGCCGGAGATCTCACCCGCGTCGGCGAGTAAGGGGGCTCTGTCGGATTCGTAACAAGTTTTCATTTTGTCCTATATATATACGATTGTGTGAGTTGAGAATTGTTGGGTGTGAGGTGTTGGCTGGAGGCGTTTTTAAAATGGGCTTTCTTGTACAGCTTGGGATTCAAGAGGTCGGCGGATTGGGTTTGCGCTTTGATTCTGGAATGTACATGTTTTTCTCTCAAGTTATGATACAATGGATGGATTTTCTTCTTTTATTCTTGAAAAGCTTTATTGAGTACTGTGCGCTTTGCCGTTGGGCGTGGAAGTCGTAACGGCCCGCTCTGGAAATCGGATTTTATAATTGGTGATTTGGTAGGGATCCGGCTGTCCGGAGATTATCGCGAGAGACAGGAGGATCGTGCGTACAGCCTGAGCTGTGATATTAGTTTTACCTGAGCTGAGAATATGGGATATTAGAGTAGATATTAGAGTTTATCAAGCCATGAGAAGGGACAGAAAAACCTGTCCCCCCCCCCTAACAAGTCCGGATAGAAGGCCACCTTACCACCACATATAATACCTATCCCACATGAAGGACAAGACGACATTATCATTTCTCAGATAGAAATTGCCAGCGCTACCGTGGTGAATCTAGCTATCCCAACAACCGCTATGAGAAACATTCCCTCCACATGCCCCTATCTCTTCAAGTCACCATGAATACATCCACACACGTCACAATCACGAATTCTCAGCCCAAGGAACCTCGAGCACGTTTTCCGCCAACCAACCAACCAAGCCCGACGCCAAAAGTGTTCAGCGCTTAGGTTCCCACATTGCCCTGCCCACCGCGGTACGGTACAGCGCCAAACTGTTGATATTCTGGTTTATTTTCCGTGAAATTTTTATCCTTCTGCCACTGAACACGTTGGTATGGTTTATACAACACGTGCTTGTTATATCCCTCCGGCCACCGGGATGGATTGAGATGGTTGGAAGTCGTCCCAATCCGCTTTTGGCCCCCGAGTAATGAAAATTTCGTCACGGTTCTTCTATTCTGAAAGAGTCGGCGGACATAAACAAGAGTGATTTACGTGTATATTGTGAGAGTCCGTCACCCTGAGAGAGTTACGTGCGACTTATTCCTGGTGGGTAACTTAGTGGCTATTAATTATCACTCTGTACAACAAGTGTATCTTAGTGTACCTTAGTGTTACTGATTATATTAGAGGGCTCTTTCTTGTACAAACTGTAAATATGTAAAAGGATCTGGGGGGAAAGCGCCAGAGGAAGAAGAATAGAGATGAGAACTGAATGCCTAATCGACATTACCCACCAATAATAGCACTAAGAGCTTGAAGTTTTCCTTAATCACTAATTTCAGGACTACTATTGCCTTTCTATAATGATGCTTCACGGTGATGTAATACATAACACTGTAGTAGCATGATAAACTATTAGCGGCGGAAGTGAATACGTACAGTACACATGCTCCTCCTCCCGCCATTGCACAGTTCTACAAGAACAAGTCAGAAAGCCAGCAGCATTTCCTAACCATATAAATTCACCGCGTCCCTTCCAAAGGTCGGATCCAGGGGTGATGGCGGAATTGGTACAATAGCCCGCGCGATTTCCCACAAGCGCAAGTTGCCAACCACCAAACTCCTTCGCCTCTTCGAAATGCGTGCCGTGCATTGTCTGTGGTTTCTCCCTACTCACCGGATCCCACTAGTGTGCCAATTGCCCCAGACAGCGTCTCTCTTAGGATACTACTGTAAGTCGACACTAGGATCCGGCTTGAGCTCAAGCTGGGCCGGGCCACAATCGGAATGCAGATTTCCGGGTGGTGGGTGGACGAAGCGGTGTGCTATGGCGAGAGATATATTTCGGCTGGGTAATATATAGGACGGAGGATAATTGTCAGTGTTGACCGAATCACATCGGGCTGCCCAGACTCGTAGTCTGTCCAGCGCTCGGCCCATCAGAAACGGAGTATCCGGGGATAGAGAATAAAAATGAACCATGGGCCGCGGTGCATCCTGTCCCACCTCTAAGCCCCTGATGTATAATTGTGATAGGAGGAGATGCCTTCTCGAGGGAACAGAAAATAAGGATATTATCGATCACTGGTAGGTTGGTTGGCAGCAACAGGGTTAGGAATCCCAATGAAAGAAGGTAGGTTTGGAAGAGAGTAAGACGGGATCTGTGAATACATCGTAATCACTTTACATCCAGTTCTCCGGACAAGCGCTTTTGACGAGATGCCATTACCTTTTTCTTCTTCTTTTTTTTTCTTTTGTCTTTTAGAAACCACAATTCGGGGTGGGAGGTTGGGTTGCGCTTGACGGACTTTTCCGGTATCATAGGTATTTCATAGGGTAGATATTCATTCCATCATCTGGTAGCACTCGGGTAGTAAAGGACAGTCTCCAGGTTGTGTAGTGCTCACAATCAAGGAGCGCCGGGTGAGTGGGATCGACTTAAGACATTACAGAGCGTGGAGATGCTTAGTTATTAATCGGGAGAAAAAGGAAAAGAAAGCGATGCCTTCAGATAGGCTTATATTCCAGAGTGTTAAGCAAGCAATAACGGGATATCACCAATTACGATCCACGGTAGCACACACCGCACGCATGAGCACTAATTCCAACAGGGCTCGACGAGCACTCGTAACCCCCGGCTGGAGAGCGGGACGTAACGCCCTGAAGGAAATGTAAGGTACGAATGTTGCATCATAGAACCATCCGTTATACGCACTCGTAACCTCCTTAAAATCCCATCTTACTCACAGCCAAATCTACTCTTCTCCAGCTGTGATTGTCCCTTTACACGCAAAGCAATCTTGTCGCTAGCAATTACTAATCGATGTAGATAATTTCTTTTCCTTCCTTGGGGGGTGAATCTCCTGCTATAAGGCGCGTTCAATTTTTAATGCTATATACGAGCTTGTTCTTTGGGGGGCGTCAGCGAAGGGGAAAGTACGAGTAGAAATCCATCTGCCAGCAGGATAAGCATTTGTGCCAATCCCAATATCGCACGCAGTGGCTGAGGTATCCGGGGATCGATTGGCCCCGGATGTAATTAACATGAGCCTAGGAGTCCCTATCCCCCCACTTGGAAAGAGGTATTGGATAATGCATCACGTGGGAGGTGTCGGTGTTGCTGGCGGGTGGTAGAGTTCGACTTGGACCATTCATTGCACCTAGAGGCCTTGCCTACGATCGGCGGAGCAGCAGAAGGAAAAAACAAAGGGACCATCGTGAGATAAAGGTAACTTGGGTGGTAGTGAATAAGAAAAGTGCTCTGCCCCCTCTGGTTTTGGGAGGCGGCTGCGAACCCTGAGCGCTGTCCCGGCCTATTACGGAAATGAGTGAATTGGTCTGTGAGGGGAGGCCGTGTGCCGCCAAGTCACCCTTTCTTTTACCACTGATTGCCTTGTAAGCTTTACCGTGCTTTATTGCTCCAAAAAGCCAGCAACGAACAGTTACTGCACACGGTAAAGGGGAAGTTAAGCCTTCTACCAGTGATTGTCTAAGAATCTTCTCACCGAAACAGTGCTAGTGTTAGCGACATGAGCCTTGGGGCACCAGGGCCACCCAAAGATAAACCAGCATAGTGAGACCCCCACATCCCAATCTCCACCGCAACAGGTATCAAACCGACCCACAAAACCGAAATTCCGAATCACAACTTCGCCCCAATCGCAGACCCCCCATCCACAGTTATCGTAGCACCATTAACATAGGCACCCGCCCTACTGGCCAAAAACAAGCACGTGCCCGCAACGTCCTGTGGAGTCCCAATTCGCTTCAGAGGAATGGAGCCTTCGATCATTGGCTTGAACTTCTTGAGGGTTGCAGCCATCACTTTACTTTTGTCAGTTCCGCGATTTTTTTAAAAGGGGGCGGAGCGGTCACTTTTGCTCTCGAAAGGTCCGCAAGCGATTGAATTTGATCTGCGGAAGCCATCGTCAGTAAATTTTCATGATGAACGGAGATGCAGCGCAGGGTATCATGGTAGGGTAACAAACGTAATATTCCTCTTTCCAAGATGATTCGCTAGCACCTCCGAGAGATGGTGTAGGCCGGCTTTACTCGCTGAATACGCGCTATCCATCCGCTCCCAGAATCAGTATTCATACTAATCCACCCCCTCCCTCAAACAACAAACCCACAAAGTCTCGAGAGCTGGCACCCTAATGCCATCGATACTCCCGATATGTATAACCCTCCCGGGATCTCCGACAATCCCCTTCTCAGCATTCCCTCCCACCGCCGCAGCCTCCAACAATGGCGTGCACAATTGCGTGATCGTAAACACCCGGTGCAAATTCAACGTCAACACCCTGGTCCACGCCGCGTCCGGATACCTATCGTACGACTCGCCCCAATTGGAGCCCGAGTTGTTCACCAGCACGTGGAGTTTAGTTTCGCGCTTTTTGAGCTCCGCGACGAGGTTCTGGCAGTCGGAGAGCTTATAGAAATCTGCCGGGATGGCGTGGGCTGTTCCTGGGCCTGGTGTTTGTTAGTCTCGTTTGTGGTGGGAGGGGATGGGGAAGGGGGTAAACCCATTGTGGTCAATTCTGCTGCGGCGGATTCACAGGACTTTGCGTCGCGACTGGAGATGTAGACTTTTGCGCCGTTCGCTACAAAGCCCTCGGAGATCATTCGGCCAATTCCTTTTGCCCCACCGGTGACAAGGACGACTTTATCCTTTACGGAGAAGAGGGTCGAGACATCCATTGTATGTTTTTCCTCTTGTTTTTCTTACTGAGCTTCTTCTTCAGCTGCAATGCAAATATTTCGTGACGACTAGTTGAAGGGGGGGTAGAGGCCCGTTGGTCGGTGTTAGGAGAAGATCTATCATAGAGAATGACCACCCCAAAGGAACCGGGAACAGTTATTTATTGCCCAGGACTGTGGCTATGGTTACGGCTTCCAGATTCAAGATGAGCCGAGGCCCCCAACAGCCCTAACCCACAGTACAGGCAGGGATTACCCTAGGTGACTATGGTATGATATCAACCACTCGAGTACTGTACCGAGATTCGGGAGAGCCTGGGAAACCTGTTTCACACGACCGATTTAGAATTCAGCGGCAGAGCTAAACCTTACTGCAACACGGGACTCGAGTGATTTTACTGCACAGAAACTTTTGTAAAAGTTACAAGTAATATATGTATCGTAGCATTACTATATTGTCATTTCTTGCCCCACATATTCTATGCAATTTTCCCCTCACGCCCAAACATGACCAAAGAAAGAAGAATACGAGAGAATTTATATACAAACCTAAACGCCACATAATGGCCCGGGAAGAGGCTCTGAATAAACAAAGGCCTCAAAGCCATGAAAACGGATGAGGTGAGAGCACAAAAAAAAAACAAGTATCAGAAATGGGTAGAAGGAGAAGAAGTGAGAAGAGTCTATCCCAGATGAACAGGGGCATATCGGTGAGTCCGTTTATCACATGAAGCTGTACTTGTGAGCTTCGGCTCTCCATTTGGGTCCGTACTAGACGCATATTAGCAGAGATCACATAGGTTGTGCCGATAGGGCTTTTACTCTATGCATAGCCCATATCACACTGAGAGCTGCTAAAGCAAGTGTGCCGAGTACTGTGAACAGCCAGCCATTCCCAACCGCGTTTGTAATGGGCTCGGTAACGATACCCCCAATACAGGCAAAAATACTTCTAACAACTATAATTAAATGTTAACGGTGCTCAAGATTTCATATGTCCAGAAGAAGAAAAAACTCACAATTATTGACCGCAACAGTAGAACTAGCTCGTCCGGGGACAAACTCTGCAGCTCCGTCAATTCATGCACGACGAAACGCCAGATACGGAACAAGAGACATACCAGTCAACATGGTGGTGGTCATTCCGAGCACCAACATACTTCCAAATCCAAAGATGAAGACAAGGGGCAAGGGGGCGGCCCAGTGGTACCCCTGCTGCACAATCCATCCATAACAGACCAACCCAGATGGGAGCATAATTCCTGCTATCCACGCATTGACTCCCATGCGGTCTTCCGGCCGGTACTCCAATGGAGCGCTTTCATCCCCGCCTGCAGCCGCCCTTCGCTTTATCGCGGCCCGTCGCATTATGGTGTCGGACCATTGGCCACCCGCTAACGATGCCATCACGGAACCGAGAGGGCCAGGGATGAACAAAAGTCCCACAATGAGTGGGGAGAAGTTGTATGGCTCTTGAGAATAGGCAGCTTGCAATGAGATGTTCAAGATGTACTGTGCTCGTTAGTGAAGAAATTAGACGCGGTGGGGGGTGAGATGATACTATGGCTCCAAAAGTTACACCGGCATATATCACAGTTAACAATACCGGCGGGAAGCGCAGGTAGAGCAGGCTTTTCAGAGGATCGACCAGGATGATCTTTGCAGTTTCGATCCATTGTTTGCCCTTTCTCAAGCTTCTTCTAGAGACTTGGGAGATGGTTTTTTGTAGACCTGGTGGATCCGTAGTCCTTTCTTCTCCTGTGGGCAACTTACCATCACCGAGCTCGGGTGTCTCCATACGTATATCCTTGGGTTTATCCTGGATTCGTAGGGTCTCCGGGAGGCAAAACAGCATTCCGAAGAACAGAGAGAGTCCGAAAATCGCCAAGAACCATTGTGTCCCCTTCCATCCGAACTCTTGAGTCAATATTCCTCCCAGAATTGGTCCCAGTAGAGGTCCACAGCTAGATGGGTTAGCAGTGTACCCCTTCAGGATGCTGAAGCGAACACTCACAGAGGGCCCAAGTAAAACCAACCCATAGCTTTCCCCCTTTCACTGACCTGCCAAATATCCGCAATAGTCCCCGCACCGACGGCCTGGACACTGCTCGACGCGCCGCCGGAGGCGACACGGAACACAACCAGCATGCTAATGCTGGTCGAGACTGCACAGCACGCTGAAAATATGGTGAAGAGGGAAAACGATACTATGTACACCGTCCGCCTGCCCCTCCGTTCGGATATGGAGGACCACCAGAGAGGGAATATCGCCAACGATAGCATGTACAAGGCAACCGACAGGTTTGCTATGACCTGGGTCGAGTTCAATTCCTCAGATACCTCCGATAGGGCAGCTAAAGCCAATCGATGTTAACAACCATGTTGCCCCAGGCCACAGTCCGACCACCGGTGGACGGAACAATTCTATATATCGGGCACGATCTCCGAAAGACAAAAGAGAAACTCACGAAACAATATGGTGCTCGCCATCGTAGCTGTCGACCCGGCGGCGGCAACAAGGATGGTGATCAGATACTTGATAAGCTTTCCATAATCTCTGGCATCTTCAATCTCGGGCACTAGCGCTAGCTGGCCAAACATGCCCCTTCTCCTACTCCACGGGACAATACACGACTTGTTTGTCGCCATTCTGGTGGCTGGCGGAAAAGGTTTATTGCTATCATCGCTGTTTATCGGAGCTGGAGGGTTAGAGGGATTTGTCGGAGAATCGCCCTCTATGGCTCCCTCCGCAGTGGAGCTCCGCGCAGTTCGTGCCCCCTCCATTAGTCTACCGTATATGACGCTAGATTTCAACAATGCACCGCTGTTGCGTGATCGAGTGTGAAGGAAGTTATTACCAACAATGAGAAAGATATACAAGGACCAAGGGAAAAAAGAAAAAAAGGAAAAAACTGCCCTGAGTTCTTCCTTTTGCAGCCCACAATCCGATCCGGTGGACAATGGCCCATATTTAAGAAGAAATAGAGAGCCGGAATTTAGTGGGAAAAAAAGTCCCACACAGGGCACGATACCTACGGCACCAGACTAGAAGCTTTTGGAACAGCTCCCAGCCCTATGCGCATATCGCCGCTGCCGTGTTTTCCGAAGAAGCGGGCCCTCCCTTAACCCTACGATAGGAATTTTGATCTTAAATTTATATCGTACTATAGCACTGGTGGCGGGATATGACACATTAATTTTTTTGGGCATAAATTTACTGGTATTCATCCTACCTCAAGGTTGCTAAGGTACGGTACGAGTACTATGCCCCGAGAAGAGGAATGGCGCGCTCGGATGAAGATACCGTATTAACTGTTGCGATCCCCTACTCGTGTATCCGCCCCAGGAAATGGTGCCCGTTTTGGAATGGTGACCGCGGACAAAGTGTAGCGTTGAAGCTGCTTTCATAATATCACCGCTACCGTACGTTATGCAAAGCCTGAACCCAAGGGTGAATGACTTGGAGCTTGATACTACTAGTGCAGTACTCGCACTATCAAGCATTGAACCCTTACATTCCTTGACTTTGTAGTAAATTAGATAAGAGTTCATAAAGAAACGAAAGAAACGACCAATAAGCTCTTGTAGCATGCCATCCCACTCAACACATAATACCTCCCAAATAAAAACCGCACTTAATCTATCGCATTTCGCAGGGCATCCGATGCGGCCGTCCGGCGTTAAGGTCGTCCTCCTATGTCACAATATCATACCGGTACATCACCATTAAATCCATCGAATACCGGTACTTTTTTTCTGCCAACCCTTTCAAACTGCTCGAACGCTATACGAGTACTGTACATTTTTGCAAGTATGCGTCCGCTCTCACTATCCCAAAATGGGCACAAATTCGTGGCGCGGAGACACGGTCATGTCACCAACCAGCAGCGACACCGGCCCAAGACAGTGTTCAGTTAATGAAGACCCAACACCGCCGAATGACCCAGACTACACCGTATCAGGAAAGCACTAATCCTTCTCGAGAACTTTTGTCCCTGGATCACGGGATTAGCGAGCCCAATGGAGATGGAGTCACAAGTTGATCCGACTACGTCCACGAGAGAGAATTTCAGAGCAATGAAACAAACCGGCGGGCCAGAGTTAGAAACACGGACAGCAAAGGACGAGACCAGTCTCGTCTCTGGGCGGGGTAGTCTAGTCTGGGTGGAAGCTGACTGCACCCGAGTAGAATTGGTCACAAACAAAGTAGGGAACAATTCGTGGCGAGAAATTCTACGAGTATGATACATACCGGTACCCGCACACTACCCGTGCTGCCGGACCGGAGTCTAGCCTCCCCTTGCCCGTCGCCACCAGAAAAAGGCGACTTCAATCCACGGGCATGACTAACTACAGTAAGTTACGCACCTGCCGAGACGGCCGAGTTGAAGCCAGACCCTTCTTAGTTCCCGCAGTCTGGGTGTCTGGCCCCGACTGGGCTGCATAAGGGTATAACCGGTGAAAACATAATAAGGCAGCTAAGCAGCCGCAATGAGGAAATCGATGGGGGAAAAAGGAAAGGAAATTCTTTTTTTTTTTTTTTTTTTTTTTCCAATCTACAATTGTAATATACTCGTGGAAAGGGGCGCTTTCATACTCGTGATCCCGTAAAACTCCGGAAACGAAACAGAAAAGATTGGACTAGACTATTCGAGCGAGTGCCAAACGCGACCAGATAATCGGAAGCACTTTGCGGACAACCCCGTATGATATTTCGATCAAACTATGGGCAATCTCAAACCCAGCACCGAACTTGATGGCTCCGAGGTGTGGGTGGGCATGATACCGGTACTGTACAGTACTCCAGTACTCGTACAATCGGGATCGCTCGGGAATTCAAAACCTGGTACCGGTACGCTGGACTCAGTAAAGTTAGCCAGGAACTTTTTTTCTTAGTTTACCCGAGGGCGAGAGGTCGAGGATCTGCGGTTGTTTCTTCCGGAAGGGGGGGGGGCAAAACTCGAGATATTGCACCTGAACACGACAAAGTCTTGCGCTGTCGTCTAAGAGTAATCCATGGATCAGCAATTATGTCTAGTGTGTCAAGAAAAAATAATTTTGAAACCGGGGCGGGTGAATATCGAGTGATGCCATATGACACATACCACTGTCAGTTTTATCTATAAGTGGATCGGCCCGTCAGCACAAGAAACAGATTCAGTGTCACAAGTTTAACCGAATTGCGGAAATACCAGTACCAGTAAATGATATCCAACACATCCAATGGGCCGGGAAAACATTGATCCCTTTCGGGCTAGGTATCCGAGGATTTACACAGCTGGTGTGGTGGATCACCGGCATAAAGGTTGCAACGGTATAGTACTGTACCGGTACCCCCCCCCATATGATGGATGATTCAGGTAAATCTCTCTTCCCATCCAGCACTACGGTAGCCGAGAAAATTCTATACTATACCTGTGACTCATTCGACAAAAAAAATGGAACATTCGAATCTAACTCCAAGTTGGAGCCGGATGGGCAAAATGCGCATTTTTTAAGTCCTCATACGAACGGAATTCGTGAGGCCTGGAAGCCGTGGCATGCCGGAATCCACCTTTTGGGCGCACGGAATATTTCGGGAACTTCCGTCTTGCCGGTTCGTGAGCCTAGATGAGAAAAAAATTGAATACATAAGGTAATTGGATGGTGTGCTATGTCGTTGGGCTTTTTCCTCTTTCAGTAAGGTCAGGAAATTATCATTTTTTTTTTTTTTTTGCCGTGTTTCTTGCCTCCTTTCCATGGGGGGAGGATTTCGGACTAGTGTGAGGTAATCATAATTGTGATAATTATTATGCTTCTCCAGCGAGAAGGTTTATGCACACTCACTCCGAAGTATGACGGACACAAACTTGGCAACGAGGGAAAACACCGGTGACCACCGCTGTAGTACCGCTCTCAAAAACCAGGACTTGAAATGCCTTCTCGAGTGGTAGTTAGTGTTTCTCACAGGTGCCTGCCCTGCCAACAATCAGAGGAAGCAAGCAGTCGGTCGGTGTGATGAGACTTCTTGAGGAACGGGACTCCTGCGGTATGATATGATACTTCCCTATCCCTGGCAGGCTCCGCAGAAAGTTTTTGACAAAATCTTGTCAGAGAAGTTGGCGTGCTTGTGGAAGGAAATTTCTGCAAGAAGTGATTGTTTCTCTCATGTATATCATACTAAAAGATTTACATCACTTTCCCCAGCACTATACCGCCATATTACCAACAGCGAAAGTAGGGATCTCAACCCATATATATTTTCTCTATCCCCTTCTGTCCGGGCCATTCTGTCTCGAGGGGCGGTGAGGATCTGATGAATCCAGTATGATATTATACTAGAGATAAACGCTTCGCCCACCACGAGGCTCAACAACGGAAACACGCTACTTATTTTTTCGAGAGATTCGTCCGATCTGTAAGACGCATTCCACACCACGCCCTGGGCCGCCTATGACTCCGAGAGAGAGAGAGAGAGAGAGAGAGAGAGATAAATATCGGAACGAGTATATAGCTTCGAGCTGGCAGTGAGTGTGCTTGCTTACCATAACAAAAAGCGCGATAATGCTATATAGTGCGCATTAAGCAATGCTAACCCTGTGAGTGCGGAATCTCACTGAATCATCCAATCCTTTGATCCATTTTTCCATTTTTTTTATCAGTGATGGGTTTAAGCACTACCCCAAGACTTGTGCTCGAGTGAGCTGCCAGGATGGAACAATCTTTTCCCCATGGATGTGCGACTATATCGATTTTTAGACAAAGTTTAATGCTTTGCCCTCTCCCATTAATCCTGTATTGACAATTGCTTCAGGTCTTTTTATCATCTCCGGGAGAACTCTTCGGACGCTGTGGGTTTTTTTTTTTTTTTTTTTTTTTTGGGGGGGGGGGGGGGGGGGAGAGTAGTACGGTAGCAGGGAAAAATTGAGGGCAAAATCAAACTGTACTGTAACATTCTGTCTGAATCAATAGACATGCCATCTACCCGTCCGTGAGACATGCAATCCCCACCATCATAGCAAGCCTTTCAAGTTTCAATACTTCTCAGAAGCATACTCGAGTATACGATTGGTGACATTCAAAACCTGCAAAAGGCTGAATGAAAAAAAAAAAATGAAAAAAAGTGCCATGATAATATTCATACAACGGGCACCACCATAATTCCGTCCGACGCTGCCCAACACGCTCCCGAACCGCCTTACCCGGCCCACCCACCTCAGCTATCATACTGCCCTACAGCACAACGCGTTTTCAATTCTTCAATCTCATAATATTGACATCTACCCACCCCGAGAACAAAAAAAAGAAACCTCTGCTTTCACCCCCAAAATATTCAACTAGGCTGAGCTCACGATGAAATACGGGATAAAGATAGCATCGCATCTAGCTATCACACCCCTTCAATTTGACCCTTCCGACTCCCAACAGCCTGACAAAGATTAAAAACAATGATATTACCGAAAATATCTAAATCGGTTCCGAACCGACCCTAGGATCTTCCATCATAATCACTCCCCAAGTTTACCCTCCGCCCCTGTAAATAGATGCATAGCACAACGCAACGGCTCGGGCCCACCCTCTGAGCGCTCTGCGCCACAGGTTATATGGAGCGCAGCGCTTTGAAGGGGAGAGCGAGTGAAATATTTCTGGTATAAGTGTGATTGGGCGTGGAGCGGTAAGTGCAGTGAAGTGTACCGTGGTGTGGGTAAAGATCTCAGAATACGGGGGGTATCAAACACCCTTTTGGCGAAGAGCTAGGCAGGCAGGCAGGCAGGCAGGCAGGCTCCCCAGAGTGCGAGAGAGTGACGACACCGTTCCCGCGAGTCCCGGGCGCCATCGTTTGATGTGTCCTCAAATTTACGCCATTCAAGTAATCCAAGCAGGAAGGCACACCACCAGCCCACAAGCGCAAACGCCAGAAGGCGAATAAGTATACCAACCATAGTATTAACTTTTACTTTACAGCATACAGAACCTTGAGTCCCAACTCCATGAGTGACCAACCATGCCCGAGTGACCCACCATGACCACAGGCAACCTACCCCTCCCTCCCCTTCCCAGCAAATAGCCCTGGCAACGCTGCCGCAGCCTCCGCAACACTAGGCGAGTAATGCCGCCTAAGCAGCACAGCCTCCCACCCGGTTGCCGCGAACGGATTACTCATTTCCGGCTCGTCGACGAACCCGTCCCAAACACCGTCGCCAACTACCTCCTCCGTGGAGAAAAGCGCCGACAGCTTCCGTCCATGCTTGATCGCCAGCTTGTTCAGTAGGCCAAGCATCGCTAGTGTCGACTTCTCCGGCATCTGTAGCGAGGCCGTCAGCAGGCGCTTCATGAACGCCGCGAGGCGCATGGGCGTCGCAGAGTTTTGGTGCGCTGTTGAGAAGAAGATTGAGGAGAGGGCGCGGAGGAGGAGCTCGATTTCTGTGGAGAGGTTTATGCGCGAGGAGGTGGGGAGGGGGGTTGGGAGGGGGGAGTGCGGGTCCGGGAGGCGCAGAGATTTGGTAGTTAGTTCTAGGTCGGGTGAGAGAGAGAGGGGAAGGAGGGTGGCGTATAGATGGGTTGTGAAGAAGGTTAGGTCTATGGTTATTCCTTTGCCTATTTTCAATTGTCAGCTCGACCAAGATAGTGGGATTGATAAGTAGAGAGTACCTTGTCCAGATAGCAATGCAAAAGCAGTGATAATGCACAACAACGCCTCTCGAACTGCATTCCGATTAGCCGCCTCGTCTTTCTCCCCCTTTACCCCCCCTTCCTCCCTAGCCTCCTCCTTCGCGTCGGAAACCAGCTCCCTCAGCGCGACTAACAAATCCCCAAAGAAATCAAGATTGATCAAATGCGCATACTTCGCCAACCCCTCCAATGTAGCTCCCATAAGGCCCGGCGGCTTCTCCTTCAGAACCCGAAAGTACGTAGCAAACACCAACTTTAGCGTCTCAGACTGCTTCTTTTCCCGCTCCTCGTGCGAGACGATAGCATCCGCTTCCAGCATCTCCTTCTCGGCCGCCTTCTGCTCCTTGCCTAATTTCCTAGCCTTCTTGGTTCTGAACTCGCGGTCCTTCTTCTTGCGTTTTCGGGGGTTGTCGACGGCAGAATCAGAGCCTTTCACGTCGAGCTCAGAAAGGAGGCGCAGGGATAGGAAAGTGTTTAGCACGGACTCGTCGACGAGGTAGTGCTTCGCTTTCATCATCTTGGAGAGCAATTGCACCGCTTCGCAGGATGGGCCTCCATCCTCGTCTGTGCGGAATAACTCATCGAGGGTGGTCCGACACTTGACAAACGTCTCGTCAACTTTTCTCACGCTAACTCTCTCAACAACAATCTTCAACAATTCCGTCCGGAAATTGAAGTGCGGCACCGCAGCCAGTAACCCGCAAGCGCAATTCACGGCAAAATTCGCAAGGGCGATGGTGTCCTTATCACTACCACCCCTCCCGGCTATCAATCAACCCACAAAGTCAACCTCCCTCTCGCCCTCTTAGGAGAGGATAAAGGAAAACGAACCTCTAGCTAACCCCCCCAACAACTTTACAAACCCCGAGTACCCACTCACAAGCGCCTGCTCAAATCCGCGCACCTTCCGCACCTCCTTCGTAACCTTAGCCTTCATCTCCTCCTCGCTCAGCGCACGGATGCGATACCCGGGTATCAAACCCTTATACACCGCCAACATAGTCCCAATCGCCAGCATCCTAACTTGCACCGCCGCATCATCAGATATCTCCTTCAACCTCTTCAACAACCCCACGCTTTCTTCAGGATCCTCGCTAATAAGCGTAGCAATATTCGCCAATTCTTCCTTTGCAATTATTATCCTTTTCCGCAGCGGCACCGGCTTCTCCGCCGCTACAGGAGCAGTAGCAGGCGGTAGAGGTGCCTGCGAGGGATCAATTCCATCCTTCTCATATCCATCCTCCTGGTCGTCGGAGACTGACTCGGTATCTTCGTCGAGGGTCGTTGCGGAGGGGAGGTTGGGGACCTGAACGATGCCCGTTGCTGTCTTGATTGGCAGTCGTGTGCGTTCTGGCTGCTCCCTTGCCCTGCGTTTTTTGTTGCCGTTGCGTGGCTGGTTTTCGTATGATTGCTCCAAGTTCCAATGCGCCGCGGCGGCAAATGGGTGGCCGGTGTGTGACTTTGCCTTCATCCCCCCCTTTTCCCTCGTCCGTGCTGTGTTATGCTGGGGTGGTATCTGTGGTAGCAGCTTCAATAGCGGCGGGACGGGGAGGCACCGGAAGTTGGCGATGATTTGGCTCTGTAATCCACTTTCTCGAAATTTTTTTTTTCCGGGATGATACAAGGTTATCTTGTCTTGGCAGCTAGTAGACAACAAAACAGTACTCGTATCATCGCTTGGGCAACTCGCAGCACTACCAGTACACCCCCCCCCCGAGCCCTAACCCTGCAACCGTGGGTTTCAACCTCAAACCACCGGCGATAGGTGTCAGGCGAGTTGGAAGCCATGATTCACTGGTAAATTTTAATGAAGTTACGATATCATATAGCTTTTCCTTCCTCCCCTCATGGGAACTCCTATGATACGGTAACATGAATCCCCATCGCTTCCTGAGCCTTCCAGAAATCTAACCACGCTTTCCCTTCCTTCGTGAGTACCGCTCTTAGATAATCCATCATTCTGGGCTTCCCTCTCTCCCTTCCAACACCACAAACACCGGTAAATTTCTACTTCAGGAGACTTTTTTGTATTTTTCGGTTCTAAGGTCATACAAATGCATACGGTAACTATTCCACGATGGTCTTCGGCCACGGTATGAAAATGATAACATGAGACGGCAGATAGGAGAGCTATCGGTACAGTACAGAAAGGAAAAAAAGAAAAAAAAAAGGGAAAACCGCTAATCAAGTTCGCCGTTCCCCTCCCAAAATCCCATGCAAAATATGCGGAACAAAAAAAAAACACCAACAATGTCATAACCGATGAAGTAGTGGGGAGAGAGTAGAGAAAAAGGAAGAAGAAAAAAATACCTCCCAGCCCGCAAGACAAAGAGACGAGGGAAGAAAAAAACATAAAAAAGGGAGAATTAATACAGCCTCACACAACATCCCAATTTGTACAAAAAAATTGCAAGACGAGATCACCGGCGTCACGGATCAAACCGGAGTAGCTAGTACCTATAACCATAATATTCGTACATCCCTGTGACTTTGCCGTATCCGACACCGATCTTTCGTCCACCCCACAATTTTCCGCCCATCTTCCAGTAACGGAAACCAGTTTCTTCCGCCAAAGGTTTGGCAATCTTCTCAGAGCCAGGAGTGGTTCCGGGCCCAGCCCTAAGGTACCATGCTCGTCGGTGCTCGCTCTTTACGTTCCATCCCAATTTCTTCGTCGAGATGGGTCGTTCCTTCAGACCGTCGGTGACCTTCTCGCTGAGTTCCAATACTTGTAGTGGGAACGAGGCGGGCATGAGGAGTTTGCACCTATTGGTGTCGACGAGGGCTGTCGGGTTAACGGAGGAGATCCCGGTAAGGTCTAGATAGTGAAGGTTCGACTTTGCTCCGCCATGGCGGGGCCCGTCTTGCTTGACGATAGTGTTCAAGTCTGCGATGTTCAAATCGGCATATCCGATGGACAGCTCCTCAAGGTGCTTGGAAAGCCTTCGAAGATCGGGGATATGGTCTCTGGTGATCTTTGCTCCAGAGAGATTTAGGGAGCGAAGCGTAGTGGGCAAGAATGGGAGAAGTACGTCTACATCCGTGGTGGACAGAAGACGGTACCTACCCGTATCAAACAGAAGATTGAGGTAGACCAAATCCCGGGTGGCAGGATGGTTGATGAGGAAATCGACGACAGCGGGGCCTGTCAAGCGGTTGCACCTGGACAGGGAGAGGTGGGTGAGCTTTGCAGTGTGGGGTATAGCATGCAGTGTCTCGTCGGTGACTTGAGTATGAGTCAAGTCGAGATGTGTCAAATTGAGCAATCGGGGCAACAGAGTAGCATAAACCGATGAGGGGAGCGTGTTACAGCCGTGCATGCCAAGCCTTCTAATGGGAAGGGCGATGGGCAAACGTAAGTTGCTGGGAGAAATAACACTCAAAAAACCATCCTTGAAACAACTCGCAGCAGTAGCACAAAAGTCCACCGCATTGAGCCGGGGAAGCTCGCAAAATAATTTCTCTAGCACTCTCTCATCCACATCTCTACCCATAGCCTCAGAGGCAAGGAACTCTCGCAAATTAGGAGTAATATCGAGACAATTGCGCAGTTTTGTAGCGGTCAATTTCTGAATCTCAGAATTCATACGCTCAGTTCTACCAAAGCCCACAGAAGTAAAGTGGGAGAAGTCCAGCCTCTTCACCAAATGGCCCAGCTCGGGATACTTGGAGATCTGCGCCAGGAACTTTTCGAAGATGAACGAATGAGGGAAGGCAACCTTAGAATACAAGGTCGACAGAGTGGCAATGTGGAAGGTCCGGGAGACGAGTAAGCACGATGCCAAATCTTTGTTCCTAGGGCTATAGCCGTTGGTAGGCACATCGGTCACTAATTGTGGGATGATTTGATCTTTTGGTAAAGTCAGCGTGACGACAACCGGTATTGGGGGACGAGATGAATGACAGCACAAAAAACCAACCAAAAATCTCCACGGGTAGGAGTTCTATCGGGGCCCGTCCTTTCTCAAAAATCATCGAGTCTTCGTAGTGAATCCCCATTCTCCCAATAGTGCGAGCAGGAACCAGAGCTGGCGAAGAGAAGGCTCGATGGATCCGTTGATAAGTGGGTGGAAGGGCAATGGTACAATCGGACGACTGGCAGATGTCGTTGTGATATTCTTTGAAGGTATGTGTGGCAACTTCTGGCATCGTGAGGCCTCGGGGAAGGATAGGCCTTCTTTATAGCAGTCAAACCGGAGGAGGTTTCAAGTCAGCGGTAGGGGGGAAGGAGGGGCCAGCAAGGTCAAGGCTCTAGTGCACGGCAGTTTGTTCGACACGGAGGATTTTTCTCTGAATTAAGTTGCAGACAAGATGGAAGGGATAATAGGTTACAGAAGGCTAATGTGCTCGGTCTCGCTCACCGAGAGGAAGGGGAATCTGTGACACTGTGCGCAGGTTTGTAGTGCGTGGGGATAGGAAGGATGTGTGTGAGCGAGAGCACGAGTACAGCCGGTAGAGTAGGTGAGTTGGTGTGGCACTTTTTCCCTCTTTTCCTGATGGAGGGGGAGAGTGTGTACCCGTAGGTTACGGCGCTGGCGGCGAGTACGTCCACCGTACCGGCCTACCTATACAAGTTTGAGTGATGGTATGAGAGGAAAAGGGAAGAAGAGAATAGGCCAGATCACATCCCACCTACCACCAATTGATCGAGCCGATTCACCCAGTGAAGCTGAGAGAGTGCTCGAGTACGATACTCGAGTACATACCAGTATCACGTCCACTCTAGAATTTTTCCTGTTGATGTCTGACGCCATTCCTGCCTGCTGCCAGGGATTGGCAGCTCCATCCCAGCGGGTCGACACCCCTCAAACGCTTTCGGGAATGGACCAGGCGAATGAAGGAAAGTGTGAGTGAGTGCCCAAATAAACCGTGAAGAGAAGAATTTCCTGTCCGCATTTCCCTTCCTCTTTGCGAGGATTCCGTGACTAATAGATACACCACGTGCCCCTACTCAGAAAAAAATCTTTCTTCCTTGTCTCATTCTGCCAGCTAAGTTACCCGTCTGCCCGCCCGCCCTCTCCACTTCATGTCCGGCCGTGCCAGCCAGACAGCGAATTGCTGCTTTCTCATCCAAACAATATGATAGGACTTACCGAGAAGTAGACCGACTGCTCGTACAGTAGACTACCGGTGACTCGCGCGAAGGACAGACCGAGCGAACCAAAGCATGGTGTTGTCCGCCTGATGGATTTGGACTAACCGGAAGCGGAGGCGGGATAAAAGAAAGGAAGAAATTAAGCATGGACACGCTAAACCCAGGAAATAAAAAAAAAATCCCGTATTATTATTACATGGCGCCGAGACTTTTGCCAGATCCCTCTGACCTCCGTCATTGCTACCAGTATTTTGCCCCTCAGCCCCCCTTGTCACGATGCCCCCCAGTCATTGGGCAATTGGAGAGAGTTGGAGGAGCTCTTGATGCTTTGATCTTTATTTTATTTTTTCTTCCCCTCAAGCGTCAAGGCTTTGTAGGCATTCATTCTCGCGAGGACCTGAGAAGTTGGGCTTTGGGATTTGTCGTTACACACCTGACCTGATTTCATCCCAGCTTTCCCAGGCACTCGAGTGTTTGGGAAGGACGACCACGATGGGTCAAGAGCACACATAACCAGGGCAGCTCAATATGTAGGAACACAAACCCTGAACAAACCCACACACTGCGGCTGCTGTGGGACGCGAAATGTTGAGATAAAGATAGATAAGAAGAAAATAAATCGGTGTGGTGTCGTGTGAATCAGAAAGCTTCATTCAAATCCAGATGTACTGTACTGTACTACCTGTATCCCAACAGTACCGGACAGAGGGAGAGAGAAAAAGAGAATGTCGACCGTATCTATGACAAGTTTCTTTCTCGTCTACCAATCTTGATAAAATTCCCGACGGTGGAGAAGGTCATACACTTGCCTTTCCCTTCCGCACTTAAACCTGCCCTAGTATCGTCGTAGTGATAGTTGCCCAGAACTCGCGGGCACACACAGAAGAAACATGACCCTTCCATCCCCGTACGCCCACTCCGCAGCCCTATTCATGGGAAAAGAAAAAATGGGCATAATCTCGAAAGATAAGGATATGGGCGGTCATATCCTTTGATAAAGTTTTTGAGGTGATATTTCTTCTTCCATTTTTCCTTCCTTGCGAGGTCTATTTATTCCCTTTCACCGTGCTACATAAGGCTTAAATACATCCTGTCTCCCTTCTATTTTTTCCCCTCGCGCCTCATCAATCTTGTCGCTATCTATCTCTTTACAAAGAGGAATGGAATCCCGCAACACATCAGATCACACACATCACATTCCAAACCCGAAAGATAAAGGCGAACAGGGGAGGAGCGAGAGGACGAAGCGAAAGGCACTACTGGCGCCTGATACGTCCGATACCAGTATTGCCAATAGACACATACGAGTACCGTATCGTTACTCCGCGGTCAACGCCGGAGTTCCACTCTCACTCACCCACTCATTCACCCTCTCGCATATTCTCAGCCATACGCTCACCCCCCCCCCTCTCTTGCCGCCGCCTCGCGAAATGAAAGGCTATTCGCCGACGGGATAGGGCGAAGAACGGCAGAGGTGGGGATTGTGGGGGAAATGGCACAACACGGCAATTTAAGGGAACCGTACTACAGTATCTACGCGGGGGAGAGGATAAATAATGAATGGTCACCTGCTCCACCAGGACCTTCCACTGATGCATATTTCGACGTACTTACGATAGGCTTAATGGCTCTCGATTTATTGACTAGTTGCGGAGGAAAACAGGTGAAAGGGGGAGAACATGGGGAAACGTTTACGAATCACAACCAAGGCCCAGAGTAGGCATTTGAGACAGGCGGAGGGACGGAAACGAGTAGGAATGAAAGTGGGGCGGAGGTGGAACGAACAACGTGGAGGAGAGGGGAGGATACGAGGGCTAGTTTGACCCTGAGCTTTGCACAATATGGTAGTCAGGTTGACCGGCTATTTGATGCCCCTTTGTCGCGAACATGATGCCAGACAAAAAGGGCGGGGAGGCGGGAAGGGGGTCTTAGCTCACCGGAATTCTAAATTTACAGTACTCAACGCAGGAAAATACTGTAAACTAGCCCTCTTCCTTCCTCCCTTCACGATGTCCACTGCGTGCGTCAGGTGGGTTTTTGCGGGAGGCGAAAAAAAAAAAAAAGGAGAGAAAGCGAAAGGGAATAAAGAGGCGGAGGGAGGTAATTTTTGTTGTCGTTGTTTTGGTGTTCAGAACAAGCTGCAAGACATGCGAGCTTGTCCTAATCACAGCTAAGCCTCGGTTTTTTTCCCACAGCCGTACTCGTAGACTACCGTTCTTCTCTTTTCCTTCATGCACAAGTCGCAGAAGACCTGGACCTTGGATGCTTTTTCCCGAGGCGGAAGATCCCGTTACGTAAATCATGCAGCTCTTTGTCACACCAGGCGCACGGATGTTTGCAACGTGCACCGGGGGCAGACCTCGGATGGATGATGAAGGCGTGGTGGCGATACAAGTAACAGCGCATTGTCATTATGGCAATAGGAAAAAGAGGAAATAATTGAGATTCAAACTTTCCCATGATCCCTAAACCCTCCCTTCCTCCAAGCACTGTATCGTGTCTACAGGGGGGGTAGCATGAGACGAGTACGGTAGAATCGTGGGAGGTAAACCCAACGAACGACTATGAAGGATTATGATACTAGCCACTGACGTTTAACCCTACCGGTAGTCACCCGTCACTCGCTCATTTATCCACTCCCTCCGGCCACTTTGTGCCCAAGAACTTCAATCGAAAGAAAAAAAAGGAAAAAAAAAAGGAAAAATGCAATCCTAAAATACTGTACAATAAGGTTTTGCTGGGGTAATCGTTTTCTGGATTCCCAAGGATTTCCTGCACGGGAGGCACCCCGCATCTGGCCAATGAGAACAGGGGGCTCTGGGGGGGATTAAAAGGGAAAGATTGAACGAATAACAAACCGGCACACTACCGTTTGACCCGAGGCAGAAAAACCCTAACACCGATCACGGTAGGGTAACTTGTATTACATACCCACTTTCGCGAGCATAACCTACACTTTGCCCCCACCTCCCCGCATAACCTGCGCTGCACTGCACATGCAAGTGGGTGCTTGCTCCTGTTGACTTCTATATCCCGCCCGCCTCCGTCACCGGCGTTGTGGGCGGGCATTCGGCGTCCGCTGCCACCCAGAGCGGGGCGCAGCGGTGACCTGTGCGAGTGCCCTCCAGAAATGCCACAACACCTCCCCTTCTCCTTCCCATTTATTATAGGATAGCATTCCACTATATAGCCTGGTGAGGTCGGTGTTTGCTTCTTGAGGAACTTTTCCCGACCTCTGTCTCTTGCATTCTCACTGGTACGCTCGCTTCTGTCGTCGGTGTTGTTGGCGGCGCGTCGGTCGGTCGGTGGATTGTGCGCTGTAGGGTAGAGTATTTACAAGGGGGCACCAGGCTGGCCTCTGGAGCGTACAGCACTAGTACTCGTACTGTACTCGAGTCCTTGTGTGGTAGTGGGATCTGCTCTAGCCTCGGGGGAACCGGCGTTTACGGGTGTCTTTTTTTTTCTCGAGTATAGGATTCGATTCCGCTTCCTCGTCCGTTTGCTGTGAAGTGACTCTCGCCCTTTCGTTCTGTCGCGGGGATGGTCTCGATAGGGAGGATTTGCCATGTTCACAGTGCATCACTCGTGGTTGCATGTTGGTCTCTACGGCCGAGTGTCCAAAATTGATGATTCTCTGGGCGGAGGAGATATTCCAGGCTAGATTGCACAGTTTCCCAAGTAGTCTTGACGGGTGAGAAAAAAGAACACTTTTGGCGGTTCATAGGACATTGTGTCCTCTTCGCGTACAGCGGCAGCAAAGTACGGTAGGGCAAGCTGTATTATATGAGAGGAGATTTTTTTTATTTTAGATCATACGCACTTGTTACCGGTATATGATACATTACATTACCTTTAACTCACTCTGTCTGCGCCGTCCCTTTAACGTAGACTTTTTTCACGTTGGTTTCGCGCTACCCGGCAGCGCAGTTGCACCCTGTCCTCCGGGATGCCCTCAGGTACCATAGGTTTGACTCACCCACCCACCCCGGGCGTGGCCATTTCCCCGCAAAATGAAAGATGATGTGTTACAAGTACAGTACCGCTGCGGTGAGCTATCATGGAACAATGATTACGTTATCCTTCTTTCCGCCTGTCTCTCTGCAGACGTAACAGGTGCAGAAGTCGCAACGTGAGCTGGAGGAGCTCAGCTACCCGTGCGT